GACTACAGTACTAATGATTGCCTGTTTGGAAAAGTATATTTGTTTGTAATTATTTATATGCATAGTTATATTTAAATGCGCGAGTGTAATGTTAAGTATAAACAAAATCCGCCCATTATGTATATACGTTTAGTTACCGACCCTAGTAGATAGGCAATTTGTTATTGTTTTAAGTTTTACCGTAGGGAGAGAGAAAATCAATATTAGGATAAATGGTCCAGCTCCTTTCTGGTTACGTAGGTACCTAAAAAGTATTTTAGTTTTTGGTTAAGTAATTAATTATTGTAACAGTGATTTTCTTGTGATAGTACCTAATTTAGATTGTGGATTAAAGTTTTTGTATATAATTTCGCTGTTTAATAATAAACGTAGTCAAAACCGGAGCACGTGGTTGTTCTGGAAAGTATTTTTAAAATCACAAGCAAAATCTCATGACTACTGTACTAATGATTGCCGAAAATTAACTAATTCATATTTTATGCCATATCTTTCTTAATAAGGACTGTCAGAACCATATTTACCTTAACTTGAAATTTTTTTAATCGTTTTTTGTATAGAATCATCTCTAAAAATGTATGATTGAAATATCGTGCGAACTATTTGTTCGATCAATAAAAAACTTGCACCGGTCCTGTTCGCGCCAGCACCGTTATACGCATGAGCTCTGACACACTATTTTCTCCTTATGGTTTCATTTTTGATATATGGAATCGGCTTTCTATACTATTTCTATGATTATTACCCAAAATAAATTTATTGTTTTCAATGGAAACAAATAATTGTTCAATTGCTCAGTTAGATGGAATATGAAATAAGGCAGCTAGAAAACATTTTCTAGACACCCCTGCTCAAACCACTCGACTTGGCTGTGTGATCTTGACTGTAGTACTTCTAGTTATAAGTAATCCAGCATCTGCAATATCAGCAAATTACCAAGCATCAGTGAAAACACATGGGAACAATTTGAGATATTAAGGCAAAGTTTAGATAATTTGGTACACAATCCTCTAACATTCTAGTAGTACAGAGCGAGTTTGTCCGAGTCAATGGGATTTATTAGTTTTTTGGTATGACCTTAGGAACATTATTAAAATATTTTATTGTGAGATTCTGTTCACCGTTCACCGTTTAGACGCCTGGAAAGTTCACTTCTTATATTTTTTAGAAAATATCTCTGTTTAGGAGTTTGGTCCAAGTGAATGAAAAGTTTTTTGTCGACAATATTACACTTATTTTGATATATGTTGTGAACATTGTGAACGCTTGATAAAATAACCTTAACAGGACGGTTTCCATTTTTATTCTTCTTGCCATATCGAAAGAAATTAATTAATTAAAGGGTGCCTTCCCAATAATTACGTTTTCTTAACAATATGTGTGTGATATGTATTCGATTCATAAAAGTACCTAATCAATTCTGTCAATTATTAATCTGAGTATTGTTAAAAATTGGAATGCTTGGCAACCGTGCACATGACTTACACGAAGATCAAAAAATCTTAGGCAAGAAACACCAAAATCTGTAGGATAAAAACTCAAATTTCTCTGTTATTTATTTGTAGACAGCATATTTTTTTTTGTTATTTCATAAACAGTTCTGGCAAAGATCAAAATTTCTGTTCTACTTTGTGTGTGTCGAACTGAATAGGAAGTGGCATTCACATGTACAGAAAATAATAGTACATAATAATGTCGTTATTTAGCGGTCGGTAGCCATGATTGACCCATGACTCCTGCTATAAACTGCCACATTGCATACTATGTCCCTGCTTTTCCTGCATGTACGAACTCCATTTAATATTCTCTCTAATTCAGGTCATGCAGGACTGAAGGTTTGATCTTGCCAGCACTGTATACACTTAGTAGTATTTTGTACTTTAAATATTTTTTCAAAATTTATGTCTGTTAAGTTTACTAAGTTTAAAAAAAAGTAGTGCTGCATGAATTGAGCTTGGAAGTTAACTTTACACACGTACATTTTCCCTGTAAACACTGTTGTTAGTCTAATAGAATAATTAAAGCTATCTGGTACGCTAGGAGCAAGATTAATATCCTCGATACTCCATTGTAAGTATAACTAGTAAAAGTACTGTAAAGCCATATTAAGGCAACCAGGAAAGAAACTGATCCTAGTCATTTTAATGAAATCTGGTGCAATGATTTATACAATCTAGTACCAAACTTGGGGGAGGTGTAGAAAAAAAAAGTAATTGTTAGCCACAATAGACGAAACAAAACATATTATAAACAGACTTACTTTTCTGGCAGATAGGGCATGCATACATCATCCTCCTCTTTTTCTTTAGAATAACGTGAGAGGTATTTTCTAACGGTTTTATACTATATGTATGTCCCAAATAGTTATCCACATAATTATCTGAACATTCATTTTTTAAAGTCGGTAAATCATATTCAGAAGTGAGGAATTCACGCACTACACTCTCAGTTTTTGGTTGTGTATATTCAATAACTTCTTGCTTAATATCTGTTAATTCAAAATCGCTAGGGTCCTGAAGTTCGTGTTTAATAGTTTTAGAAAAAATTGACATATTTTCGGAAACTGTATTTTTATCAATTTTTGTCTGCAAATCTCTTTCAATTTTAGGCATTTCACATTCGATAATTTCTTCTTTAATTTCAACAGGTGTGAATTGTTCCGTCCTTTGATATTCAAAATCGTTAAAAAATGCAGTATCAATAAGCACATCACCATCTTCGTCTTTAAATGTTTTTGTTTTTCTAAAGCAACACTTGTTTTGCATTGTTTGACTGGTACCGATTTCCGGTTCTATTTTAATAAAATCGTTAAAAAGATCGGACGAGTCTCTATCTTGTTTTAAGTCCATCGTTTTAACAAATGATTACCATTAATTAATTATAATAATCAGATTATTTTATTCTAAAATAAACTTAAATGAAAACGATATAAGACCGCGTAGGAAGTAGTTTTGTTGTTTATGTTTTGTTTACAATTTTTTGATGTTTATGTTTATAATCAGTTGTCAATTGTCATGTCAATTGTCATGTCAATTGTCATGTCCATGTCATTAACGTTTTTTTTAGGCAAGTTCGGTCAGTCAGGGGCTGGAGCGGGACAAATTTTAGGGTGCTTTTAAATGACATTTAAGTGTGTTAAACTGTCACTAATCGGACTAAACCGAACGCTAAAAGAGTCGTTTGGAGTTAAAAGTGTTAAAGGAGTTAAAGGATCGTGGCAAACCGAACGCAATGTTTGTGTCATCGGCATCAACTGCTACGGTTATTAGCCTCGTGTTCTGTGTAGGCTTTGTTACTGTTTCCCAGTGCCACTTTAGGAACAGCACTGTTAATTAGTACCCAACAGTGAATGGTCGAGTGGGGAATCCTACCAAGGCATCAGAATTAATTTTAAATAATTAAATTAAATGAAAAAATTCTGGCCAACGGTGGAATTCGAACCTGGGACCCTTGGATCCGCAGGCAGAGACTCTACCACTGAGCCACCCACCCCCTGTCATTAACGTTTAGGTTGTGTCTTACTTTGATGTAATTTAAACTCATTTGGGCCAGACCGATTCTGCCTGGTTAGCACTCAGAACGGCTGCAATATGACCCGCTTTTCGTCGTCTTGTTTATGTATGGATGAGCAGTCTATATAAGCTATATATGTCATTGGCTATACCCATAGAAAAATAAAAAGGCTATACCTACCGGGTTGGCAACACTGCAGCAGAGGTCAAAAGTTTTGTGCATAAAAAAATAAAGTTTTGTTGTCCGTCCAAATCAGTGTTGCCAGAATATATTTTTTTAATGTACCAGATTTGTCTAAAAAATGTACCAGATTGCATAAAAATGTACTAGATTCTATACAATTACCAGATTTTTCTCTCGAACAGCTTTTAAACCATTTTTTATCTCTTAAGCTATTTTTAAACAATATTTTCTCTTGATAAATTTCTAACTGCAATTTTTAATTTTTAACAACTTTTTTTTATATCTCTAGCAATGGTTGTACAATATTTTTTGTACAATTTTTAACACTATTTTTGGTAGGGTTCTAATTAACAGTGCTGTTCCTAAAGTGGCGCTGGGAAACAGTCACAAAGCCTACACAGAACACGAGGCTAATGGCCTTAGTAGTCGATGCCGATGACACCAAATAAAAAAAACAGCCTTTTTTACCTCTCAAGCTATTTTTGAACAATATTTGATCTCTCGTGCAATTTTTGAACAAAATTTTAACAATTTCTAATACTATTTTATCTCTCCAGCAATTTTTATTAACATTTTTTTTCTTTCTAGCAATTTTTAAACAATGTTTTATCTCTCGAGAAATTTCTAACAGTATCTCTCGAGTCAATTTTGAACAATATTTTATTTCTCAACAAATTTTTCAATAGTAATTTATCCCTGGAGCAATTTTTGAACACGATTTTAACAATTTATAATACTATTTAATCTCTCGAACAATTTATAAATATTTTTTATCTCTCATTAAATTTCTAACAGTATTTTTATCCTTAGAGCAATTTTTTAACAACATTTTACCCCTCAGGCAATTTCAAATACTATTTTATCCATCGGCCAATTTTTAACACCCTTTTTTACCTCTCAAGCTTTTTTTGAACAATATTTGATCTCTCGTGCAATTTTTGAACAATGTTTTATCTCTCGAGAAATGTCTATTTTATTTCTGAAGCGAAGCAATTTTTAACAACTATTTTAATTTCTCTGGCAATTTTTGAACAATATATTTTACACTTCAAATGGAACATACGCTGAAAAAAGTACTAGATTTTGCTTTGAGTGTACTAGAGTACCAGATTCTCAGAGAATGTACTAGATCTAGTACAATTGTACTAGACTGGCAACACTGGTCCAAATCCAAAGCTGGTTCAAAGTTCGGGTTTCGGGTTCAGCTGTTCACATATTTTTATATTATTTATTACTTGAATTATTTGAGTCCAAAGGGAAATAAATCTTGACCTGTAAATTTTAATCAATTGTCTAGGTATTGCTACATTATAGTTCTGAATTAAATGAATATATAAGAATGGCTTTGAAACTGAAAACAACACACAATCTAGGTAAATGTTTATTTTTGTTTTCCTCTTTTCCATCATGTAGTTTGACCCCTTTTCATATAGGTACTTGAAGGTATCGCTATCGTAAACAAAAACCTAATTTTCATATCTTGTACAAATGAATAATAAGGACACAATTAATTTTTTTAATTATCAAAATGTTAAACCTTTTTAAAACAAAAAATTAAATTTTTATTGTCATTATATATTTTCATTGCCCTAAAAATATTTTATATACCTTAATAGGTACCTAAAAAATATACAATTGTTAATGAATATTTTTATATTTCATTTTATGCATGCATAAATCATTTGTTTTTAAACAAAATGGGTATTACATTTTAGCGATTCTTTAATTCATTTCTAATAATGTTCCTTGCCCTAACCATATTATATAATCATTAGGTTATTATTATTGATGTTTACCCATAAAGAAACCCTATTCACTTTCCCATAAGTTTGTTAATACATGTTTAAAAAAAAAAACTTAAAAATTCAAGAAGGGGCGATCTTTATTAGGTAGGTACTAATAATTTAATTTTTTTAGCAAAACAAACGCATATTTTGATAAGAAAGTATTCAAAAATTACTACCCATTATACAATCCATCCTAGAGAAAAAGACCCAAGATGGAAAGGTAAGATCAATAATTGCAGACTATATATTACCTAGTTGAAGACATTATAGACATTTAAAAAAATGTTGTGAATGCACATTTTCAGAGATTACGGGACAGGAAGAAATGTTTCCAGTGACGGGCAATTTTAATGTTTTACATAGGTATATAATAAATATGCATTTTAATTTAATACAAAAATTATTTTAAATTTTTTTAATTGAAGTGAAGTTAGTTATCAACCTTTTTCGTTATTCAACAATTTTGCATTTCACATGCACGAAAAAAGCACGGAACTTTTGAATGTAATAATTTTTCAAACAACTTATTTTCTATCTCTCTTATCCTCGCCTTACAACTGTTGGGTTGGCTAAGACATTTTCTTCCCAGTCATCATTACTTTAAGCATTTGCCATCAAGCAGTGAAGTCAGTTACACTTTTTTAGTACTGATTTGCATGAGGCTAAATTATAATTTTTCGTTAATCTTCTACAGGGTAAGACCTGTAGAAGATGGAAATACTTTGATTCAGACACATTAGCGGTGGAGCCACTCATTGACGAGATCTTCAAAAAGCCGTTATAAAAAATTCTAATATAAAAGCACAAGCTCGAAACTTTCAGATATTTCCATCAAAAGTTAATAGAAAAAAGCTTGCTGCCATCTTGGTAGTGGTGAAAAACGTTCAAGTTTGGAAAATTAAATTGTTATGAAACTGTTAAAAAGCAGAAATGCACCCATGGTGTTTCTTAGATCAATACGGAGGAAGTCTTCAATGAAATACATGAAAGGGCAACCAAATCTAGGAACCTGATAATTTATAATGTGAAAGAATCAGGTTGTGATGAATTATCAGAGAGGATTGAAAATGATAAGAAGGTTGTGCAGGAAGTTTTTGAAACATTGATCATTGGTGGAGTGAACAAGGTTGAAAAGGTTCTTCAAATAGGTAGAAAGAAAGAAGGTACACCACTAAAAGTCATCTGTGCTGATCCATCATGTTTAAAGAAGTTTTGATGGCTAAGAAAAAAATAGTGCAATCTGATTATAAGATAAACTCTGATCAGATTTCAATACAAATGGAGCAATTTAAGAAAGCACTAGCTGAACTAGAACCGAAAAATGAAAGGAACGATAAGAGTTTTGTTATTCAGTATATCAATGTTGTCCCAAGGTTATAAAAATTACCTACCAGCAGGAAGAAAAAACTAGATAATACCTCATTACTAATGTACTACCAAAATGTTAGTGGAATGCATACCAAAATCTCGGACTTTAGTTTGGCAGCAAATTCTTCAAATTATGACATTGATCACAGAAAGCTGGTTGTATGAAGATATCTTTTCTAGAGGAACTAGGTTGCAGTAAGTAAATACAACATATTTAGAACAGACCGTAATGCACAAAGTACAGCAAAGAAGAGGGGGGGGGGGGTGTTCTGATCTTGGTGAAAAATCATATACAGGCCTCAATTGTCAGAAAGTCCGAGTCAAGTTTGGTGCAATGTATTATGTAAATATCTGGGTGCTGAATTTATTGTAGAGGGTATTTATATACCTTCTAGATCGTCTGAAGTTCTGTTCAGGGACCACTGTCTGACAGTTGAACAAATTTGTGCTGAGTATCCTAATTTTAAGCTGTACATAGTAGGGAACTATAATTTGCCTGAGGCGCAGTCGTCGAATGCCGATAATAGAGTGTATGACTTTTATAATATGTACCAAATGATCGATGTTCCGAACTGCTGAAACATATTTTTTAATTTACTGATTGTTTTAAATCGTTTAGTGACTTTATTAACACTTTCACTGCCCAAGTTTTAATGCCAACTACATGCTCTGGCCCATGGATATATGAACATTTAGAAGTTTGGACGTTCATTAACGTCATGGGCCATACACAATTAAAATCTGAAAATTTATTCTGGGGAATAGCTATTATATATACAGGGTGATTATCGGACAGAAGTTAACACAAAAAGAGAAAATAATATAGACCTCTATAGGATGTCAAGTACTGATTGTCAAAGTATATTACTGGGCCGCTGGCTGACGGTGTACCTAAATTTATTTATCAACAAGGTAGTCAAGCCCTTCGTGAATGGATGACTCGCGACTATAAGCTCTTGGGAGCCTATCTAGGAAGTGGAATAAATGAGTAATTAATAAATCGACAGTAGTAGGGTATACAAATGATGGTACAATTAGCCAATGAAGCTGCAGCCACCATGTCAAAATCTTGTAGGGAAGGTTGGACCATTCAAAAACAATCAAAACTAGTTTAAAAGGAAGTCTGAAAGGATGAAAAAAGACGTAAACTCTTCGTCATAGTTCTATACAGGCTGTCCCATTAGTGCATAATTGCTTGATATTTCAATTTGTGTTATAGACACATGTTTTGAATAAAAGTTATGTGGATTTGAAAAAAATATAATTTAAAAACATGTTTGTATGTACAGGGTAATACGCTTTTGCCTGGAAACTAAAATGTTTTTAAATTGAACACCCTGTATTTTATTTCAGTGTGAGTGGCATGGTAATACTGTATTTATTACTAGAATATTTTTCAACTTATAAAGACCAAGCTGTGATAATAGTAATTTACGTTACAAAACCGGAAAGTAGTGTTTTACAGGTCGAGACAAGCAGATTCCAGAGCGAGCCGTAGGCGAGTCCTGGAAGCTTGGTGAGACCTGTAAAACACTAATTTCCGGTCGTGTGACGTACAATATTTTTTTTAAGACCGACTTTTTAATGTAAACTAATTTTATTTATTTTATAGTTATAATTAAGTAATAATCAACAAATACTACATACAACTAAACAGAAACTAGATAATGCCTAAATTGGCCTAATACATTATTTTTGAATATTTATGTTAAATGTACAATTGTGAACGTTAAATATCTGAAGGGAAGATGTGTCTGAAATACTGGGAATTATGTTTTTTAAAGCGGTACTTACAAAATTAGTTTGCTGCATATTGTTTGTGGAACATCCCACATTGATTTTGTTTGCTATATCAATTTAGTTTTTCATTGAATTTTCAAGCTTGACCTATGATCAATTTTTAAATTTTGTGATATATTTGGTTCGACAGAAAAAAAATTATAACCCTTTGACAATGGTTGTTTTTACTTAGATTTTCATAAAAAATAAACGGAACTGCAAACATGTTTTACTATCGTAATAACGAATAGCAACATTAAATTTTTTTTTCACATTTATCACTGTTGTCATTTTCATAATGGATTGATAAGAAGGCACACTTTCTGGTTTTTTGAAAAAGGTGGCAAGAATTGTGATATTTTTAAATTTATCAGCAGTGATACCACACATACCACATGTAGTTACCCGATTTATTGGAATATATAGACTTTGCTACCACATTCAACTGAACTTGGTTGTTTTTAATATTTATCACTGTGACATAGGCGTTTTTTTCAAAATGTTTCATTTTAAACTGCTGTAAATTGGTGCCTTTGTTTTGGTAGTTTTAGTCCCAAAAAAATCTATGCATATACAGGTACTCATTCCTCTTTGATTTGTTCGAAAAGTTAAAATTTTATAAAAAATTACATTGGCTGTTTAAAAACTCATTATAATCCCTGAAATGTGATAATTAGGTAAATTAAATTAAAAAAACAAACAAAAAAAATTTATTAAATTAATATTTACTCTTACAAAATAGGTTCTTGCAAGTTAACAAGCAATTATGCAGATATTACTAAGTAAATGTACTTGCTTAAAATTCACACACGAATGTGGTTTTAACATGTTAAATTAACTAACCCTTCTTATAACTCTTTCCACATGTATTCTTAGAGATGCTATTCTTTTACTTAATTGTAAAGCCACTAGGTGTGGCTTTACTAAAGTGCATCCCATGTTTTCAAGTAGCTGAATATTCTGAAACCCCTATCTGCCATGATATGGGATCCAGGAACCAGTTTGTTTAAATACCCACATTTTTCTATTATTTCTTTATCACTAGTTCTTCCACAAAATGATGAATAAATTCGGTATCTTCAAAACTTTCAGGAGATTCTGCATTTTCTTCCAGAAGGGTTTTTAGGTTATACACCTAAAAATTTATAGTAGCCTCATTTTCAATTTCCTGAAGGGGACAATTAGCAGAAATTGCTGCTACATCTTGATAATCCGGTGTATTTTTATTAAAAAGTTCACGAGAAACATCGCTAGTAGAAGGTTGATTTTCTTCTTTCCAAATTTCTAGGAACACTAATAAATATTTTTGAAGATGAATGTGAATCATTATCACATTCTGGAACAAAACACTTTTTCGTAGTCATAATATTTATAAAAAGTACAAAATTAAACACTCAAATTCCAAATAAATTCTTGATCCATTGCGTTCAGTCTGCCAAGTTCCTTTAACTCCTTTAACACTTTTAACTCCAAACGACCCTTTTAGCGTTAGGTTTAGTCCGATTAGTGACAGTTTAACACGCTTAAATGTCATTTAAAAATTTGTCCCGCTCCAGCCCCTGACTGACCGAACTCGCCTATCGAGACACTATGATGACAGATGCCATACACAGTGCTGCCATTTTGCCATTTTCTGAATTATTAAGTGTCTTTTAAAACAATGAAACTTTAAATATGGTAAAAGTTTAAACAGAAATAATACTTTCAAAAAACATTTGATATTATATATTTAAAAGATATTTGTTTAACGATGTTTTAGAAGTCTAAAAGTAAGAAGGAGTACACAAACGAACGTACATCACTTCTCGTAAACCTTCTAGCCGGCAACGTTGTGCGCTAGCTCCTATTGGTCTATTCCCGGTGACGTCATAAATTTTTAAAAAATTCATAACTCCGGCAAATGAATAGATAAAAAAAAAAAATAAAAAAATGTAGTTTTATTTTTAACTCTACTATTCATAAAAAAAATTTCAAAATTTTTGAACATGCCCCATTCCTATAAAGTTGCAATCTCTTTGGGAATTTACAATAAACGTTCTGTTGGTATTCGTTTTGGCTATGGGGATTTTAACT